TACTGCCTTCTAAAACGTTTGGCCAAATTCTAAGGTAACATTGCATGTACCCTTCACCGATAATGGAGTCCCAAAATACATGGCAACAAACTGATCACATTCACCAGAGATAGAGTCAAAAGAAAAGCTAATTATAACTACAGTATATACATATTTTATTCAATACTGCAAAGCAATGAATAAAAATAGTCCAATTAAATGATTAATTTAAATCAGATTAACCTAGAGACTATTAATTGCATTTTTACAATTTGGGGGCATATAAATGCACAAGTAGGTTTAAACGGGAATGGTTAAAAAGTTGTGCCACTAACAACAACATTAACTTTTCTTTGCATCTCGTGTTACTGTCTTGCAGGCTGCGCTCTGTCGCTGCAGTCAGCCTTTGTCGGGTTTGACGTCTCGCTGTGTGGAAGACGAGCAGATGCTTCAGGCCATCAGCCAAGCGAACTCCAACTGCCCTTTTATATATGTAGTGGACACACGGCCTAAGGTGTGACCTTTAACCTTAACCTTTCTATATACATAAGATGACTCGTCCAGAATGGGATTTTTAAAATGTTTATCTTTAAACTTTCAACCCCAACTGCTGTGGCATGAATGTAGGAGACACATAAGAGAATGTGTAATCTTTCGCCCTCTGACCCCAGCTACTCTTCGGTTTATGTAGTGACTAGTTAACCATTAAATTCTTGTCATAATTAGGTTTTGGTGAGTGAGGTTATGGAATGAATCTTATTTTTGTACGTATTGCAAATATTAAATATGCTCTTCTGTTTATTGTTGCCCATCTCATGTTTCATCAGTGTAACTGGAGAAACAACATTTCATTCCTTTCCCTATTATTTAGGAGACCGTAAACCTTGACCTGACCCTCTGGAGCTGTGTATATGCATACATTTGTACATGTGTTTGTCTTTGTCAGTTGAACGCAATGGCCAACCGCGCAGCTGGTAAAGGCTATGAGAATGAGGACAACTACTCCAATATCAGGTTCCAGTTCCAAGGAATCGAAAACATCCACGTCATGAGAAACAGCCTACAAAAATTGCTGGAGGGTGAGAGAACACTCTTTTTTTTCTTTTTTTTATTAGTACTGGTATATGCAGTAGCTGATTAGGTTTATTTCTGGAAGTTGCTCAGTTGAGTGTTGGCTGTACCTTTTAAATCAGTAGATAAAATGATGGTTGGTTGTACCTTTGCTCTTCCAGTGTGCTCTATGAAGTCTCCTTCCATGAGTGACTATCTGACAGGTCTGGAGAACTCTGGCTGGCTGAGGCACATCAAATCTGTAATGGATGCAGGCGTGTTCCTCGCCAAGGTACTGACCTCCATGCTATTACTGCATAGAGAGCCACCAACACGAGTATATCAACAATGATGAGCTCAGTCATTTTGTTTGTGTTCTAGGCTGTCTGTGATGAGAGGGCGAGTGTGTTAGTGCATTGTTCTGATGGTTGGGACAGAACGGCTCAGGTGTGCTCTTTGGCTTGCATACTGCTGGACCCATACTACAGAACTATTAAAGGCCTCATGGTAATGACCCAGTAACCTATAACCTCTACCCTCAACACTGGACTCCTGTGAACTTAGTTCACACTCACATTTATGTCACACTGTTGAGCAGGTCATGGCTTCTCAAATTAAGTCATTAACTATTCCTGTGTAACTTATTATATACCATATATGGGTTTGGGGTTGGTAAAATTTAACACTTTAATATTTAAATATTTTTTTTGTAATGTAATTTATGTGATGGCAAAAGCTGAATTTTCAGCAGCCATTACAGTCTTCAGAAATCATTCTAACATGCTGATTTGGTGCTTAAGAACATGAATAGAAAGTTAAACAAACAGCATTTATTTGATATAGAAAGTTTTTGCAACAATATAAAAGTCATCATCACTGTCCTTGCATTAAATACCTGAAAGTATTAATTAATTAATTTTTTAAATCTTACTGACCCCAAACACCCAGACTGAAATATGGCAAAATAATAGAATTTAAGGTCTTGACTGTGTTGAATTTGTTTATCGTATACAAGAAAGCAGGCTGTTGGGGAAATTCATCATTTGACATTTGTTTTGTTTTATACAGGTTTTAATAGAAAAGGAGTGGATCTCTTTTGGTCATAAATTCAGTCACAGGTAAAAACTTTCACTGTTCTTGCATGTATTAATAAATACCCCACAAAACATTATCAGGGCTTTCGATAACTGCAAATATGTAAATAAGATATATTTGTAATAATAATAATAGCATTTTAAGAGATAATTAATAACAATAATTATTAAGAATTGCGAATATTAAAATGGTAAAACATTACAGTTACCTTTTATATATGCTATAAAAATGCTCACTTTATTAATAGTGAGCCATTACGGTCAATACCAAGTCAATTTTTTGTGACATCACATGTTCATTTGTATATATGTTTGTGCTGTAGGTGTGGCCATCTGGACACCGACCCCAAAGAAGTGTCTCCGGTCTTCACCCAGTTCCTGGAGTGTGTGTGGCAGCTGTCTGAACAATTGCCCTGTGTGTTTGAGTTCAACGAACGTTACCTAATAGAAATACACAATCAAGTCTACGCCTGCCAGTATGGAAACTTCATCGGCAACTGTCAGAAAGAGAGGCTGGACATGAGGTGAGGAAAGACTGCACGTACACACACAAACATACATGTATGTACAAATAAAAATGATGAAGTCGGCATTGAACGTGTATGCTTCAAAATGAAAAGCAAATATTCTTTATTATTAAAGATGAAAAACATGCAATGACTGAATGATTTTAAAATGCTTTGCTTCACTGTTCTTTGTGGGGTTTTAGGTTGCATGAAAAGACGTTTTCCTTGTGGCCACATCTTCTGAAGAACCAGCATCTGTATCGAAACCCCTTGTACCGGCGTTCATTAGAGAGCACAGTTCTGAGACCCAGCACTTTACCGCTGCACTTCAAGTACGGATACACTCTTAAACATACAGTATGAATAAACCAGCTGTGTCACGGCAGACTAACACTTAAAGATGACACTTAAGAAAATTCTGTTAGTAAGACCAAAGTAATTAGATTTTTATGGAGAGCAATTTGATTTCACTGAATAGTTTTTGTATTTCTTTATGTTCCCCAGGTTCTGGTGTGGGATGTATAACCACTATGACAGAGGCATGCACCCAAAACAGTCTGTTCTAGACCAGCTGCTCTCCCTCACACAGAAGCAGGTGGAAGGAGAGAGAACCATGACTGAATTGCAGCGAGTAAGTGGGTTCGTGGAAGTTTTGTCAGTGTGGAGAGGTATTCGATTGATATGACGCTGTCTCTCTCTTCTCCCTTTACAGCAGCTGGCTGTTGCAGATGGAGTTCTCCCCGATCCATCCGGACCAATCAACACGCCTGCGGAACAGGACAGTCCAAGCGAGAAGACTCCCACCGCTCCTGTCGTCCAATCAAATGGAAGCTGCGCTCCTTTAATTAATGGAGACGCAGAGGAGGCGGGCCCAGGAGCTGAGAAGTGCAATGAGAAAGAAGGGGCGGATCCAGGAGCCACCGAACACGATCTGACCTCCTCTGAGGACAAACCTGTTTCTGTGGAAACAGAACATTCCAAAGAGGAGGTACAAGAATCCTCTTGAGTCTCCATAGTAACAGAACAGACATTTTGACTGAGACCCCAAAGAACAAATGTCCAGATTATTGAAACGATGCATAAAGTACCGTTTCCACAGCTGAAGCTGCAGCACACCAGTTTGTGATTGTTTATATTGCTGTTTATTAGATTTCTCGAGCACTGGGTAGATCCTTATGCCCTGTTATATCTGTTCTGAGCATTTCTGCAATGTTCTTTGTGTTTTTTGTGGACTTCAGTGTGTTTGATGGCCTTCAGACCACGAGGATTGAAGCTACATGCTTTAATCGTAGGCACTTAGAATCATCTACATTTTGTTTAAATGTCGTTCTGATCAAATGTGGCCTTATTCATTGTACAATAGGCTGTTTTTTAATGTCTTTCTTTTAGTAACACTTGTGTAGTCAGACTCTGATACTGATTTATTCAGACACACAAGCAGCTGATGTGAAATTCATGTTGATAAAGGGAACATATTGTTAAAACATGGATCAAATTGATGATCAGTTTTTTGCACAAAGGGCTTAGTATTATTTTTGTGGTGTTCCTTATTGCAAACGCTGTTAATTTCGCATGAAAAGGAACACTGCTGAAGTGCTGCTGATTGATTGCAATAGGATGCCACATTGTTTGAGCCAAACTCTAATGCCACACAAATAATTTGATGCGCATAAAAATATTCTAGGAATATTACTTACGTTATAAGCCTTTTAAATTGCATATAGTTTTGCAAAGCAATACTATTTTTAATGATGCCTACTGGATGTTTATTTCCCATGGATGTGGAAAAGTTTTGACAACTTTAGTTCTAATATTCAACTTTTTGAACCCTGGCTGCTATGGAGCTCCAGACAATTTTTTATTACTATGTGAAACGCAAAACCAATGTTTAAAAATGCTTCCTTTATTGAGAAGCATTTGTTTACATTATTATTATTTTTTATTAAATGTACAGCAATAGTCAAAAGGGAATTTTGAAATAAGAAATGAGAGGGATACCACTGAAAATGACTGTGGTTACATTACATCTATTGTTTTTAAAACTGAGAAGAGTTTTGCTCTGTGTAATAATTGCTTCAGCTCATTTTATACACGCTTGTTTTGATCATTGCACTGTTTTGTACTTCTTTTGTACATCATTAAATTTGTTTTAAATAAATATTAATTTTAGTGAACAAATGTGCGTTGTGTTATGCGATTATATTGCATTATGTTTGTGGACAACGCTCATTACGCAAAACAGGTATGACTGGATCCCAGTGGCGCACAGCGCCCCCTCTGGTCGCACACGGAACAGCTTCCGCTGTTTGCTGCTCGCCGGTGTTTGGCTTGTTATTAGCTCGGTGAGTGTCCTTGAGGCGAAAACACATTTAAAATACCTACTATATGCTCATGTATATTTATTGTATACCTTAAAATGCGTGTTTGTTTGACAGCAGGTCAGAAGGAGCGAGTCAAACTGCGTTATTTATGTGACAGATAACGTTACTGGAGTTAAACACACCGAGCTCCGATAGATAGCCGGGGAATAAATTTCCGCTTGAACGCGACCAGTGTTACTCTCAACTGAGTTTATTAGCATAAAAGCATTTAAAAGTCTAGTTTTGCTTGTATTTTTGAGATTTATCTCGTTTGATATCCGGTTAACTGACCGTGTATGCTTGCTAGTAGTCGTTAAAGCTAATACAGATAAAGTCCATCATGACAAAGCATTCCAATAATATAAACGCTGTCAAAGATATTACATTAATATAATCGTAGTTTACTCATTAATAACAATAATATCCCAATATAAGGTTGATTTGTTGTTATAATGCAAAACTGAACTGAAAGTGCAACACAACAATTCACGTCATGAAGAAGTGAGTGCAATTCATCCTGAATACAAGCTAGTGAGCTGCATACCTAGACAGCATTTTTGGGCATGGTCTAGATAGGCAGCTCACTAATTTGCTGTTATTTTCAACTGTCATGCAGAGGCCCTCATCTGTGCATAAACTTTTTATTTTTCTCTGCAGTTCTCGTCTATGCTCCAGCTGCGGCCAGTGGAGGAGGATGAAGCAGCCGCTGAGAGTCTGGTGCTGAACCGAGCTGTGGCTAAAAATGACCATTTCCTGCTGGCCGAGCTACTGTCACAAGAATGCTACAGGAAGTGCATTAATCAGCAGAGCGGTTGGGGGATCCCAGGTACACCGTTACGCATGGCTGCTTCCAAAGGTACGTGCGTCACCCTTCCATGGTGTCACATCTGAGTTTGTTGTCCACCACGACCACAAGATTCAAGATTTTATTTGTCACATACTCAGTTATATATATATATGTGACCCTGGACCCCAAAACCAGTCATAAGTAGCACGGGTATATTTGTAGCAATAGCCAACAATACATTGTATGAGTCAAAATTATTTTTCTTTTATGCCAAAAATCATTAGGATATTAAGTAAAGATCATGTTCCATGAAGATATTTTGTACATTTCCTACTGTAAATATATCAAAACTTAATTTTTGATTAGTAATATGCATTGCTAAGGACTTCATTTGGACAACTTAAAGGTGATTTTCTCAATATTTTGATTTTTTTGCACCCTCAGATTACAGATTTTCAAATAGTTGTATCTCGGCCAAATATTGTCCTATCTTAACAAACCATTCATCATGGAAAGCTTATTTACATCTATATAAATCTCAATTTGAAAAAATGGACCCTTATGACTGGTTTCGTGGTCCAGGGTCACATATGATACATAACCAGCAGTGAAATGTAAGTCAGGTCCGCTCCATAGAATGTGCAAAATTTAGACAAAGTATAAGACAAAGAAAGTAATAAACATGGAGATAAAGATAATAAGACTGTACAAAATAAAATAAAGAGCCTGAAAGTACAGGACATTACACAATAATCTTAGGAGAATATATAATAAATATTTGAATGAAACAGGAATGTACAAGTGAGGAATATGCTGAGGTATGTACAGAGAAGAATTTGAGGTGAAAGTACAACAGTGCAGGTTGTTACCTAGCAACAACGAAATCAGAAAGTGCTGTGTGCAGCGACAATGTCAAGTAACGAGTGTGGTGAGTGTATGCTAATGACGTCCTGTAGATGTTAAGAGGCTGAGTTTAGGAGCCTGATGCCCTGAGGGAAGAAGCTTCTCCTAAGTCTCTCAGTTTTGGCCATCAGACTACGGAAGCGCTTTTCAGATGGGAGCAGGGTGAACAGAGAGTTACCAGGGTGATTGGAGTCTTTTGTGGAGATTTTTGTGGCTCTACTTTTACAGCATCTGAGGTAGATGTCCTGCAGAGAGAGGAGAGCAGTTCCTGAGATACGCTCAACTAAGCACACCGCTCTCTGCAGGGCTTTGCAGTCATTTTTAACTCAGCAGTTTTTTCCACTGTAGGTCACCTGAGGTGTCTGCAATTGCTCCTGGCCCATGGGGCAGATGTAGACCGCCTTGATGTTAAAGCCCAGACCCCTCTTTTCACCGCTGTGTGCGGGCGTTACTTGAGCTGCGTGATTGCGCTTCTCCGTGCCGGAGCTAATCCGAATGGAAGCCACCTGAACAACAGCTCGCCCGTGCTCACCGCTGCCCGAGAGGGCGACCCCGAGATCCTCCGCCAGCTGCTACAGCACGGGGTGGAGGTCAACGCCAGGCCAAAGGTGACGCTGTGGGCCTCAGGGGTTGCTGTGTGCAGCGGGCCGCTTTACCTGTCAGCCATATATGGACACCTGGATTGCTTCAAAATGTTGCTGTTATATGGGGCAGATCCGAACTATAACAGCCCGGAAGAGAAGGTGAACGGTAGAGCCACGCAGCAGAAGACGGTCCTGGAATTGTGTTTGAGACACGGCTGTGGAGTCGAATACATTCAACTGCTCATTGACTTTGGGGCAAACGTCTACCTGCCGACCCTCATTATAGAGAAGAGCACCAAACAGAACGAAGCTGTTGAGCTGTTGCTGAAAGAGCGAGGTGAGAGAAGTTTTAGTGGTATTATAGCATTGTTTTTTTTATTGCCATTAGTGTTGTATGGAAACCTGTTTCTACCACGGAATAAAACATTTTAAAAGGTTTTTTTTCCCCTTGCAATTTTGAGACAAAAAGGTCAAAATTTCAAGGTATAATCCCAGAATTGCAAGATATAAACTCACAAAAAAGGTCAGCTTTTTTTCACAATTCTTTGTTTACATCTCGCAATTCAGATTTTTATTTTCTCTGAATTCTGAGTTGTTTTTCTCAGAATTGTGAGTTTTTACCTTGCAATTTAGATATTATATCTTACAATTCAGAATTGCAAGAAAAAATGAGAATTGTGAGATATACACTCAGTATTGCAAGGGGGGAAAATGTGAGACAAAAAAAAACTTGCAATTACATTTTTTATTTTTATTTATAACATTACGGAAACAAGCTTCCAAAGTGTTGTTAATTAAAACTATTAAATATCTTTTTTTTTTATTTAAATAAATCTGAAAATAAAATATAAATATACAATGAACGTTTAAGTTAAATGTAAAATTAGAAGTTTTGCCTTGGCAACTAACTGAAATAAATGCATTTTAAGATGAAGTACTAAAACTAAAACTTAAATGAAAATAAATTAAAGTTAAATAGAATTTTTTTTTAAAAACAAAAACTAATCAAAATGACAAAAGCACATAATAATACTCAAACTAAAATTAAATAAAAAATAAAAATGAAAGCTAATTCCAAATGAATGAAAACTATTAGTAAAATAACACTGATTGTCATTGTTAAAGAACTTTTTTATTCTCTCTTTTTCACAGGGTGCCCGAAGACTCTGGCATCTCAGTGTAGATTGGCCATTCGTAAACATCTGATACAGGTGAACAAGATTCAGTCTTTGGACTCTCTGGAGATTCCACCCAGGCTCATCAACTATCTCAAACACAAGCCACACAAGAGTGCACTGGTTTACTGACAAAACAGATTACACTCCACTGTGCCTTTACTAAAGGACAGACTCATTCACTCACACATAGACTGGACAGGTAGACCATACAGACATCTAGAGGGAAGGAAACAGACAGAAGATTTGGACTAATGACGTGGACTCACTCGTATGCAAACTCACAGATGGACCGATACACTGCTAACAACCCTGGTTTACATATATGAAGTGTGTTAAACTTGAACATCCACATAAATGAATTAGCTGTAATCTTTTTCAGATTCGACTGTGTAATATTACCAGAAGTGTTGCTGTAAATGCTCTAGAACTATGCATTGTCATACAGCAATGTTGTGTATCCTCCATTGTGCAGATAACATGTAATGGATATCATTTTGTTCCTGTGAGGTTAAAGACTTCATCAGCTCCAGAGCAAGTCCTCAGAAGGATTTATAGCAGAGGTATTGAAGTATCTTGCCTGAGGATTACAAAGTATATCAGTCTATGCTAAATTGGATATACAGTATATATGCAGGTGTATTCTGAAAACACAATTCTGCTATGAATAACATCTGGCTTGTTAGTTAGTTCATAAAATTGAACAGCTGAACATCATAATGTTTATCCGTGTTGTCTACTCTGTATTTAAATTTATGGGGTATAGTTTGAGGTGCCAGTTTCCATATAGAGATTTATTTCCACTTCATAAAAAAGGATTATTGCACTGATGTGGAAAACTCCAAGTAACATTTAGCTGAAAAGAGCGGAGATTCACACAGGACCTTATCAAATACAGACTAGACCAGTGTCATTTTAGCATTATTTATATGCTGTTATAGTATTTATGAATATTTAGCTTAGCTAAATATTAGCTTTTATTTTTAGATTTTCAGTTTTCTAAAATAAAAAGGCTGCAAAATTAAATAATTGCCTTTTTGTCATTGTACTTTTCACAATAAATATTACATTTGACATCCCCTGGCTAAAATACGCAGGGTAAAATCGTAATTTTTTCTTTCTCACAAATTTTCTGTGGACCCCTGGTGCTTTGGCCAGGTTTGTATCTGCTGCAGCAAAACTCATATTTGGTTTACACCTCGTGTACATCTCCAACAGAGCATTTATTGTGTTAATTGCGTATATTATTTTATTTTATTGCAGGGTTATATAACCTATTGCTATTATGACTTTTATTATCTTTACAATTGAACTCTTACTTTTTTTTTCCTGTCACTGCTTTTTATAGTGCATGCAAAGAAAGACGGTACGTTGAAGTAGACACAACATGGTACTACACTTCCCAAAATGCACATAGCACGGAAACGCCGCCAGCCGCTTCAGCGCTCAATGAACAAAGTGAATCTCAGTCGCGAGCTCCTGCAGCGCTGCGCGAGGACAGAGCACATCACTGCACGCGCGTTCGGAAAAGATGGAAAAATAAGGCGAGTATCGTTAATGTTTCTATCTGTGTGCATTATTCGCTATTTGACTGTTAACGTACGTGAGTGTACGCGCATAAACCGCTGTTTGCGTATGCAAGTTATGTGTATATCAGTGAAGCGGACGCGAGCTGGTTAGCGTCTGGGCTAGCGCGCGTCATTCGCAGTGATGGTGTCCAGCTGGGAATACTGCGTGTAAGTTAGTCTTTTGATAGAAGTTCTATTCGATGCCAGTAACATTTTCAGTGCAGTAATTGGTGTAACTGGTCCATGGGGTGTAGTTATTTGGACTGCACGCTATCTGTACGTGTTTCTCCTTTGTTTATGATGCACAATGCAGTGAGTGTTCAGGCCCGTTGGCTTCAGTCAGCTTTTGTTTTAATTGTAGGTTTAATCAAGCGGAACTTCACTCACGTTATGTGTTGCATTGAAGGACTCATTCAGGTTGTAACTGTACTGTCATCGATTTTGTTTTTGTATTGTTGTAGGTCAGCCTTTCTGCCTCTGTGGTTAAGAAAACAAATTTAGTTCAGATTATTCACACCTAAATGAGCAAATGTAATTTACTCAGTAGTACATAGCCCAGTGATAAACTGCATGATAGAAAATTTTATTCTTGGTGATAGCTGTAACCAGTGTGAATACAACAATGCAAATTCTCATTAAAACATGATAAGGTAACAGGTAAGTATCATATGGTATTGTTTTACAAATATAATTGTGGGTAAAACTTAAAAAAATAGAACATGCATTTATTATTGGTTTATTTCATTTAATGGAAAAACCTTCATAAACATTTTATAATGGTGAATCGTTTGGGCTTTGTGTTTTCTCATCATTGTGACCATTTTTACTTGTGAACATGGTCTAAATGAGCTCAATGAATGTTATTAATTTATTCATAATAGACCAGGTGTGTCCAAACCTGCTCTTATAGGGCCACTGTCCTGCAGAGTTTAGCTCCAACCCCAATTAAACACACCTGAACCAGCAAATCAAGGTCTTAATAGTCATACTAGAAACATCCAGGCAAGTGTGTTGAGGCAAGTTGGAGCTAAACTCTGTAGGACAGTGGCCCTCAGGGACTGAGTTTGGACTCCCCTGTAATAGACCCTTTACATATTTATATTTACCAAATATAGTAGTTCATTTTAAATTCTGTCTGATATTACTTGCGTCTTTTATATGGAGCTTTGACACAGACATAATATTTCACAGGGACAAACTCTGATTAAACCAGTTTGACTGTTTACTCCAATATAAAAATGTCTGCCTCAAGCTAACAGAGTCTACACTTTCATTTTGTAGTTGAAGGTACTAAAACAGACCAACAACTCTGTTTAGACCTGTAAAACTAAATTTTGGTCACAAATGTACCTGGGTTAAATAAGTTGGGACGTTCTAATATGCTTTATGCAGTAAACAGTGATACTGAAAGACCAAATTTCAGTGTGTATACCCGAGTAAGTTCAGGACGAACTGAGATTTAGCCTAGTTGGTGGCAGGATTATATTTTGTGTTATATTGTGTTCTATCACAAAGCCCTAAAAAGTAATTCATTCTTTAAAGGGATAGTTCACCCTTATGTTAAACACAAAATAAGATATTTAGAAGAATTTTGAAGAATCAAACAGTTGTTGGTCCCCATTGACTTCCATAGTAAGGAAAGAAATACTATAGAAGTCAGTGGAGACCATCAACTGTTTGATTACCAGCATTCTTCAAAATATCTTCTTTTGTGTTCAACATAAGAAACGTATACATGTTTGGAATGACATGCGAGTGAGTAAATGATGACATTTTCATTTTTGGGTGAACTATTCCTTTAAAGTTTAAACCTTTTTTGCAAGGTCATATTTGGCATTTGTGCAAACGGGCATCATAGATGTACAGATACAACTTTCAGTGTTTGAGTAAATTGTTATTGTAAATGTTTATTAATAACCATGTACCTTAGTTTAGTTTTTTCGTATTTTGACTGTTCCTAATGATGCGTCTTAATTTCTGTTTCTTTCACAGGTATAAGATGTCTGATAAACACAGTCCCCATACCTTCCAGCCTGCCTCTCAGGGTGGAGTATTTACTACAGACATGCTCCATTAGCCACAGTCATCTGTGTCAGTATGGAGACCGCCACAGGAAGTGAGGTTGTAGGTGCAGAAGGGGGTCCACAGTCAGACTCTGTTTCCCATGACAGCCCTCAACCTCAGTCACCCCCTTCCGTGAAAATACGGAAAACGGCTTTCAGGTTTTTTGGTGGTCGGAAGAGCATCTGTGTTCTGCCCAGCTTTTTCGGTGGCCGTGGCAGAAGTCAAAGAAAGGGGTCATCAAAAACAGGTGTTACGAAGAGCCAAACATACGATGGGGTGAGCAGAGCATGCTGGGAAGATTTGGGCAGAGGTAGCAGTGAAGCGGCCTCAGGGGACTTTGAGTTTTGTGCCTCCAGTGACCCTCAGAAATCACAGGAGGATCACGGGAAGTCTCAGTCTCTACCACGACAGCGCAGAGGCCTTCGGGGGCTTTTCAGCAGCATTCGGAGATACAGGAAAAACAAAAATGTTGAACTAGAAAAGCGCGAGGCACATGAAATGTCTTCAAGCTTCCATGCCGAAACAGTTCCTGGTGCCCTGTCGAGCGTCAGTGACCGTAGCGAAGAGTTGGTGCCAGATGTGCCTAATCAATCCACAGGCAGTGAATGCGAACTGCCATTGGCTGCCACTGAATGTACGAAAGATGTAATGCTAGTGCCTGAGAAAAGGAGGAGCAGAGTGGAGGTGGATAAGAAGAAGAGAGCAAAAGAAGAGGATAAAAAGGGGGAGGAGATAAAAAATGCGAGACGGGAAGGACTGACAACATATCATCAACTCTTGTGTGCCGAGTCAGAACTGGACCGTTTGGCTGAGCAGAATGTGGATGTTCCCGACGGGGAGCCTTTTGCTGTATCCTGCTCCTCTGAAAACTTAATCTTCGGTGACGTTTCGTCATTGAAAAGCTTTGATTCACTGACAGGTTGCGGAGACATCATCGCAGACCAGGATGATGTCGGTGTCACTGAGAGCTCTGTGTCTGCCGAGAGAGGCAGCCGAAACGCAGGAAAACGGAGCTCGTGTTTTGTCACGTATCAAGGTGGAGGGGAAGAGATGGCAACTCCCGATGAGATAGACGCGGATTACTTGCAGAGTTTATGGGAATCTGAAACTAGTAATGAAGTCTGCTATGTCCCCTCAGACATGGGCTCGGATAGCCCTTCACTTACTCCTGATCAGCAAATCAGCTCCATCCGTGCCACCTCCAACAGCAGCCCACTGGGAATCACAGAAACGGCCCTCACTCCTGTTGACCTCTTGAGCCCACAGAGCGATCGGCAGGAGTCGGTTCCCAACAGCGATGAGGGATACTATGACTCCACCACGCCAGGTATGGAGGAGGAGAGTAGAGAGCGTCCACACCAGGAAAGGCTTCCACGGGACAGCTACAGTGGTGATGCCCTTTATGAACTTTTTGAACCTGACGATCGTCTACTCAGCCCTGCTCTTCCTCCCAAGGATGCCCATTCATTTGTTGGTGCAGATAAGAGTCCAACAAACCCTCTGTACGCCCTGGCATCCTCTGCCCTAGAGACAGGAACAATGGAGACGGAGGAGGAGCGTCTGAGCAAGATCCAGCATGTCCTTCTGTGCTGCGAGCTCCAGAATCTCAGAAGCCCATCCAAAGATCAGCTTCTGTTCCACACAGACTGCTTCTATGATGAATCAAGCCTTTCTGCAGGCAACGGTAAGATGGTTTTGGAAGAAGCCATGAATCAGTGCAATCCCCAATCACCACCGAGATCCCAAGCTGTAAAAGAGCCAGTCCCTCTCAGCAGGGGTCAGATCCAGGGGACTCCATTGTTTGCCGATTCAGGGTTTAGTCCACATGTCGCTGAGACAACCAGACGGCAGCCTCAATCTGAGGATCAGAGCCCATTAGTACCCATCAGAGGCTGCAGTCAATCTCAAGAAGAGCTGATGGTCTGCTTCTCCCAAGCACTCGTAGATTTCACAAAGAACACCCGGCTTTACCGCAACTCAACTGAGAGTCTTGATGGCTCAGAGTCGAATTCTCCTTTAGGGCCGAGTCTGAGTGCCCTGCCCGCCATTGTCACGTTCGACGTGGTCGACATGGAGAATGAGGGTGAATGTGAGCAGCAGACCGAGCTTGTTGAGGAGGAGGAAGAGTTAGCGTCTCCTTACGAACCCTTCGAGGATGATGGCTGTTACCTTCAGCAAGACGCCTTTGCTGAGTGTGACCAGCGTACTATTGATGCCTACGAACAAAGTCTCTTGCTCAGTAACGCTTGGGGCATTGCTAGCCTTCCTCGCCACCTCAGTTTGGGTCGACCTTGTCCTCCCGTCCCTGCCC